GTATCATGCCACTAAAAAGTTATTACAAAGTTGTATACCTTTCACTAACTTCAAAACTGTCAGGATTAAGAGCGACAGATAACCATGAACAGAAGTGTACTAGTAGAACACTGATGTAGATATTACCTCTAAAGGTGTTAAGGGGCACTTCCCATTTAGTCTGATCGCTCCAGGGCGTATAACTCGACCACGTTTTGTAAACTTTCCCTTCCATCCTCTCTCCCTTGCAGCATCCATGTCTTTTTTCTCTGTGTCTCCACCGTCATATATACAACAAGAGAAAGCAACCATGTCCTGTATAAGAGATGGAGTGATAAAACAGCAACTTCACAACCTAGATTCTTGAAACTTAAGCAGCCAGTGGAACATAATAGGAGTATCTAGCAAAACTAACCTCTTCAAAGCGAAGGTGAATAGATATATACTTGCCACTGTTATTTATACTCATTTCTTTCATTCTAGCAACAAGTGATTCACCCAAAGATAAAATGGGATTTGAAAAGCGAAGGGCTTCATAATTCGCCAAGCACCTAAGCCTTTGCACTGCTGAAGGAGCATCAAATGACAAGCGGTTTGCAAAAGGGGAAATCCTGATAATTCTGTGTTGAAGATAAGAAAGAACTTATTGATCAATGACAATTATCGTATGGGACTATAAATTAACAGCTCCAAGAAACAGTGACATCACTCATTAAAGATTGAACAGTTCTCACTAGTGTAACAATCGTTTATGCTTTTATACAGATACTACATATTATATTGATGGTTAGTTGGTGCAGTAACAGTATAATTCCATTCAAGCAAAGCAAATGGTTCAAAGGTTCCGGAAGCCTTACATCTTTCACAAACGCCTACTTACGTATTTCTCATTTTATCTAAAAGCACTACATAAATGAAAGAGGATAAATCAGGACAGATAAGAACAAAATTCTAGAAGCTTACTTCTCTTCAAGCAGCTTTGGCAAAACTGTGTCTTTGTAGTAATTAATGGAAGACCATGCTTTTATCCTGAAGTTGTATACATTGCTCATGTTGTAGTCAAACCTTCCCATAATGTAATCAGGAATTGCATCCACCACCCGTACATCATGTTCCAGTATTTTAACAAAAAACTCTTCATCATAAATATCTCCAAATTTGCTGCGTAAATAAAGCCAGCAGAAGACATGTACTTTGAGAAGGACAAAGATTGAATATGTCAACTCCAAAGCTACCAGGAGCAAACCCAATTATACTTATTGTAGTGTAATAATACGTTATACGTAACATTTAAAAGGTAAACGTTTTCATTCTTGTTTATGTGACCAACATTAAGAAGTGCGATTAAATCCATTCCAATAATAAGTTCAGCTACATGAATAATATTTTGACTAATTTGCATTCACATCTTTGGGGTTCTTCAAAAATTTGCAGATTACATGGACATACACAGAATAGGAGAGACTTGCTGACCTTGGATCCCTCCATATGCTATGAAAATGGAAGTGTGGAATAACAAGAGTAGCATTAAGATATCCAGCCACAGCAACAGCATTGCATATCTGGAACAAAATATTCATTATTGTAAAATGAGTATTTAATACCAGTAAATAAAGCTCTGTATTTGATAATTGAAATAAATAAATAAAAGTATGAACGGCAAAACATACTGATGTTCTTTGTTGATTCAAACCACCATTGGCTTCGATATAAATATAGCCATTTGATTCAGGTAAACCTAGTAACATTGTAATGCAATCTTAGAGAACAACTTGCCATAATACACGTACATAACTGTGTTGTAGAATGAGGAAAACTAGCACACGACAGATTAATAAATATAGTAATTATATAGTATATGCATGTATATTCAGTTGTGAAAGTTAGTACAAAAGGATAAATATGGTAAAAACACAAAACCATATATTTCAATTTTAACAACATATATTGTTAAAAGTTTTTGAGGTCAAGGGGAAATCAGATGCAATACAAATCATCTGTTTGTTTAATTCTACTTCAACATCCTTAACATCTGAACACTAGGTACAACAGAAAAATCACATGATATACTCAAAGAGCATCATACAACAACACCAGCAAAGCATTACATGGGGTTAGGACAATTAACCAACAGAAAAAATGTTGACACCCACACAAAAATTCATTTTCTACTCCTTCCTGTCATGTACATTACGTTCATTGACACTGAATGCTCTGTCATAACTTTTTATAATTGTATGCCTTCAATTCATGTCATTTTAGGCTTATCGACATTCCTCTTTTAGTCTAAAACACTCCAAGACGACACTCTCTGTGTCAGAGCACTTGTTTATCGACAACCAATACCCTTACATCATCTTAATTGCCTGCTGCACCCACTCTGCTGCGAAAATCTCATTGTTCACTTTTTGAAAAATCATACCACACATCTATCTTAACAGCTTTTGTGCATCTATTCTAATTTTACCACACATCATCTTGTACTCCTTGATATAATAATTTCATTCTTTCCAATCTTCAAATAATTTCCAGACTCGGTTCTTTAAATCCCACAAAAGCAATTTCTATTAATTTATCCATCTTTCATAGAAACGTTGAAATAACACCAAAGCATAGTCTCCAGCTATTCTTTTCTCTTTATTCTAAAGGGGATCATTTGGTTTCTTACATCTAGTGCATTGCACTATTCCAATGTCACTAATCAACTTCTCCTTCCTATGAGTCATCTGATGTAAAACTAGCTTTCTCACCTCTCCAGAGTCCAATTTACCATAAATATCCTTATACAATATTGACTACCAGTCTTTGAGTCTACCACATAGAACAGCCTCTCTTGCATTTGATTTTTCAACTTCATATTTTTCTTGAGTTCTTTTCATCCCGATGTCTTTTCAGATATTGGTAGTATACTTGGTCGTTTCCTTCATCTAAAGGCATCCTAACGTTTAAACTTTAAACAGAAATTCATGGATTGCCCGATGCAACCTAGCAGCAACTTTAACAGCAGGAAATACCAATAGTAATACTAGTTAGAGTGTTAGACTAAGAGTAACTGACAAAAAGATAAAATAAAAAGTTAAAAGAAACTACAAATATGAAGATGAAGATATTAGAAGTATAGAAACATTAGTAAAGTGCAAGCCACACACATAAATTAAGTACCATATATTATGTACCTCCAGATGACTTGTTTGTGCATGGTCTCCACTCATCACCTTTGTAGGAGTGCTTCCATATTGTTGATATCTACATAAATAATATATAAAAGAGAAGTAAACATTTGTTTGGATATTGTTAACGCTTGATATTAATCATTACAAGCCTCATCAGTCGATTACCATACATCCAGTTCATTCACATAACTTCAGCGAAATAGATTTAACTGTGAAGTTAATGGACAATAAATCACATGAAATACTTACGGGGGTGTATTCATTCAAGACATTTTAAGACATTTTAGGATTTGTCAAATCTGGGTGTATTCATTCAAGACATTTTAAGACATTTTAAAACTCTTAAAATGTCTAGGTGTATTCATTTTGGACATCAAGACATGGATTCTAGGTATCATGTGGACATATCCAAACTTGTAAGCCCAAACATAGAAGGAAATCCCATTACCCAAATCTCACACCTTTACGTGAGATTTGAAATCCTAGCAAGCACGAAGGTTATCTGGTTCCTTCGAACACAACAATCGGCAGCGGAACTTCAATCGACAGAGGTAAACATTTTCTCCGCCCTCTTGCTTTTCGACCGCCATTTTTCTTCATTCCACAGAATCAAATCCTTGCAGCTTTGTTATCTCTTTTCCTCTTTGTTAAATCCCTAGCTTTTCTTAATGAATGAAAGATTTCCTTTCCCAATAGTATAAGCTTCTCCCCTGGATTAGTCATACTATAGCTCATCTCATAAGCACTGGTCAGGTTACTGATTCTTTGTTTGAATGAACCATATTGTTAATATTTATGGAAGTGTTGAAATATTCTGCCTCCAAAGTGTTCGATGAAATTCCCAAAAGAAATGTAAAAATCAGTTTTGTTGTAAAAATAAGTTTTGTTGTTAATAAAACCACAAGTCCAGTATGATGGCTATTTTATACTTGCGGCTGATTTTATACGAGTTAGGGGTGTCGATTGTTCAAGTCATAACCTTTTGGGTCTTGTAACAATATGGCTATAACAGTATTACTGGTAATAATCGTATATCGAGTGGTGCAGCAGCTTGTATATTAAGAAATTTGTTTTTAATGAGTAATGGACATTACTATTATGTATTCATGATTTGCATTTGGATTTAATTGTTTCTTTGCTTAATGTGGTTCGGTTTTTTGTTCAACAGTACACATAATGTCACATAGTGACATGGCCCAAGATAATGATAGTGATATGGATGAGATTGAAGAAGATGAGAGTAGAGAAGATATGTATAGACATATTAGATATTTATTTGTAGTCATTCAGACCGCCATATACATGTTAAGCTTGCACGTAGTTAAAATGCATCAAAATCGTGTGAACCGTTACTCACTTGCGAGGAGACCAAAAACTAGAGATGGCTATGACTATATTCATAAAATCCTGAAGGAAGATCCAAAAGATTTTCGGGATATTTATAGAATGTATCCAAACGTTTTCTTGAAATTATGCCATATTATTAGGGAGAAACAATTGTTGGCAGATACAAGGTACGTCAGCATTGAGGAAATGCTTGCAACATTCTTAGTTATTGTTGGTCAGAACAATCGTTATTGTCAATTACGCAAAACATTTGGAAGATCACATTTCACTGTTAGTCAAAATTTCAACAAGGTTTTGAAGGTGCTACAACATTTTGCGGTTGAAATGATGGCAAAACTTAAAATAAGAGAAAGTACCAGATTTTATCCGTATTTCAAAGTAAGTTCATAATTTATATATCTCGCACATAACTTAAAATAACTTTGTATGAATTTATTATATATGTTCTCTTTTCATTTTAGGAATGTCTTGGAGCTATTGATGGCACACATATACCGGCAGTGATATCTGGCCGTGAAACAAGTAGCTATAGAAATCGTCATGGGATTATTTCACAAAATGTTTTGGCTACTTGTAACTTTGATCTACAATTTATGTATGTGTTGAGTGGCTGGGAGGGATCAGCACACGATTCAAAAGTTTTGACCGATGCATTGACAAGGGAAAACGGTCTGAAAGTTCCCAATGGTACGCATGTGTGACATTATATATTGCCTTTATCAGTAGTAATCAATGCGGTTGTTATATACTACTATCACTTATTTGGTGTTTTTATTGTTATTACAATTACTATTTGCTATTATTATTCTTCCAACTATTGTAAGTATTTTTATAAAAGATTTTATAACTATAATTTTTATCCATATTATGTAGGATATTTTTATTTGGCAGATTGCGGATATCCAAATAGACGTCAATTCTTAGCACCTTTTCGAGGTACCCGCTATCACCTACAAGATTTTGCTGGTCAAGGTCGTGATCCAAATAATTCGAAGGAACTTTTTAATCTTCGTCATGCTTCACTACGGAACGTGGTTGAAAGGATATTTGGGATATTCAAGTCAAGGTTCGTTATTTTCAAAACAGCACCCCCGTTTCCTTTCCGCACTCAAGCCAAGCTAGTGCTTGCGTGTGTTGGATTGCATAACTTTCTACGAAAAGAATGTCGCTCTGATGAATTTCCGGTTGATCCTGAAGATGAAATTCGATCTTTTGAAGCGGAAGATGTTGAACAATATTTTGCAAGTCAAGAACAACAAAGGGCTAATGCAAATGCTTGGAGGGACACAATAGCATCTAATATGTGGAATGATGCTATGAACTAGTATAGGTCATGTGATTGTCCAAGTAGCATTTATGTTAAGTTATTTTTGTTTTATGCTTTCATAACATTGACAATCACTATCTTTTAGTGCTGGGGATTATCTCAGGGCAATTGAAGCAATAGCCTGAGGGAAATCATTTCTCCAGTGGAACTTCATCGTTGGCCTCATTTCTATTTATGTTTTAGTTATAATTATGAGTTGGACAGAGAGTAACAGACCGTTATTGGTGTGTTGATGATGCTTATGACTTGAGACTGCTGAAAATATGATTGTCTTAGGTGAATTGAGTTATGTGGTGTACGAATGTGCTGTATTAGGATTTAAGAAGAGGTAGGTGTTAAATGAATAAAATCCAAAAATGTCTTAATATGTCTCATGTCCAAATCCACACAAATCTTGACAAATCCACATAAGTCTCAAATGTCTCCTAAAATCTCATAATCCTAAAATGTCTTAAAAAGTCTTGAATGAATACACCCCCCTTAAAGAAGCATTCCCAGAATCATAAAAACCAAGAAACGTGAGATTGAACATTTATTCATGAGAAAAATCACAGGAGCATTTAACAGTTATATCAAACTTGCATCAAGCAAAGAAAAAAATGGCATGCCAACCAACTTTATTACACAACGGATATTACTTACCCCTTCTCCATAGAGTATCAGCCTATATCATATTCATCAATATTTGAGCTCTTTTTTCAAAATGTTGAAACTCCATTGCTCACAAGACTATAGATCATGGGGAAAATAAAACAGACACAGCACATTTGACAGAAAAGCTGTACAAATGCATAGTTGATGTCCAATCCCAAAACTCTTTATACCTCTTCTTTCAAAAGGTATAGAGCCAAAGGATGTCCTACACTAGCACAGTTTCATTGCTCTTGCAGTTAGTAAAGACTATTTGTTAAGCTAAGTCTTAATTTTACTGTCCCAAAGAATAGTCCTGGAGAGACCAATGACAGAGAGCTGCATTACATTACCTGCTCACCCAGCGCAATCTTAACATTGGGCGAGCACAGGTAGTAAAGCAAAGTTCATAGGTGTTGCAGATCTAGACACATACCCCTCCAAATCCAACCACTGCTAAGACTAATTCCAATTTGAATATTGCATAGCTCAATCGAGAGAAAAGGTAGAAAAACGAATGATTTCAAATGGCATAACTCCGGTTTGTCAGAAGTGTCAAATCAATACAACCATTCTCATCCAAGACGCTTTCAACCAGTTAATGTTAGAGCAAATTTGAGAAGGGAAACAAAATCCAGATACGGAATGCCCAGAAAACTAACCGCATCTGCGGATGAATTGTCGGAATCCATCTCGGGTAGAAGCTTCATATACAATTGAGGGCTGCGGTAGATGGACCCAGGCGCAGCACGGTGTTTGATGATAGGCACGGTATCGAAGGAAACCGTTCCCATGTAGAAGAGCATGCAAGAGATGTAGAGCAAGGGGGCGAACAGAAAGATACCCTGACGGCGGAGGAGGACGGAGAGGAAGATCCAGGAGACACGCTGGGCGAAGGTTTTCGGGGCAGGTTGACCCGGAGCGAAGCGACCACCGGGTTTCCCGGCGCGGCTCACCCGAGGCGACCGAGCGCACGGCGACGACGGGGTGGAAGGGCTGCTGTGTCCGCTGCTCGGTAGCCTATTCTTGGCGCGCATGTCTCCTCCACCTTTCACATCATACTCAGTGCACACGCATAACAATGTCGGATTGAATTGAATGCCCAAAAGACAATTCCAAGGAAAAATCAAAATGCTGCGAAATGCTCCCCTCCCTTCCCCTGAAACGAGCTCCTCCGATGCACGCGCACAAGCATGTGGGTATATGCAGAGAGGGGACCGGGGTGGTCAGGGATGGTATAATGATGATTATGGAGAGAGAAATCGAAGAGCGACAAGGCAGAAACAGGGGCACGGACAGGGAGATTATGCTCCGTATCGTCACAAATATGGTTATTACCAGGATAGTTGAATGCTCGAAAAGGCTAAACCAAAAACATTGAAGAACTGATCGAGGTTAACGTTGTTAATTAGGATAAGTACCTAAATTAAGTTTTTGAGCAAATCTGGAATGATTTCGTCATTTCGAACATCTTCAAAATGAATATACTATGGTGATGAATTTGTAAACATCAGATAAGGTCATTTCAATAAAAACACAATACATGGGACAACTATGTCCTGAGACACCATTTAGGCTATGTTGTAAGGATCGGACCAAATCCGGACAAATGACTGGATCACGGTATAACCTGGATCCAGAGAGTCAACCCAGTCAACAATCGATACCCGGTCAACCTGAATACATATAATTATATATAAAAATAAATCCATAAATATAAACTCGTATCCCTTCATAATTTAAATAAAAAAGTTTGTGTATAGACTAATGATAAATGTGAACATAATTCCAATTACAAAATAAAAAATAAAAAAACAAGGATGACTTAGGTAATGAGGATTGAGGAGGCATATAAATTGGATTATTCATATGACACCGGGTTCTTGCAATGATATTAATGTGCTTGATAAATCCTCCGTTTTTGATGATGTCCTAGGTGGCCACGCTCCACGTGTTTCGTATGTCGTGAATGGTAATGTTTACGATATGAGATACTATCTAGCAGATGGTATTTATCCCAAGTGGGCTTTCTTTGTTTCATCCATCACTGCTCCACAAATTGCAAACACAAACTTTTTGCACAACGACAAGAGAGTGTGAGAAAGGATGTGGAACGAGCTTTCAAAGTGTTACAAGTGCGATGGACAATTGTAAAGTACCCATCCCTAGCCCGGGATAAACAAGTCTCAAGAAAAACAATAATTGTTTGCATTGTTATGCACAACATGATTGTAGAGAATAATAGAAAACACGGAATTGAGCATAGCAACGATGAAGGCCTAGTATCTTTTGATAGCTTGACTACTAATATGCCATCATCAAGCAATGTAAGAACGGAACACACTTATACCTTTGCCGCTCAACCATCGAGATTACCGACATACATGGATAATAGAGCCCAAATCCGTGAGAGGAATATACACACCGCACCAATAAACGACTTGATTGGGCACATTTGGCAGAAATTCAGTGGTGAATGGAATGACATTTAATAATTTACACATCATGTAATCATTTTTACTCCTCTATTCGCATGTCTTCAATGTTATGATGAAGTGAACTTGTACTATTTTGGATTAGAAGAAATTTCACTTATAGTCCTTCGAGTTTTGCACCAATTTCACAATTAGTATTTGTCTTTTACTTTATCCATTTTTGGTACCTGACTATTGTTTTCTTGACCATATATAGTCCTTTTCCAGTAGTAAAAATGCCCAGAGATGGATCGGAAATGGTCAAGAAAACAATAGTCAGGTACCAAAAATGAATAAAGTGAAAGACGAGGACTAAATATGGAAATGACACAAAACTCGAAGGACCTAAAATGGAACTAACTCTTTGAATTATGTCGTTAATTTCTTCAACGATTAGAATATATAAATAATTACATGTAAGACCATTATTTAATAAATTGTAAAATAATATTATGCGACAACTATGAATTATGGGTGTAACATTTTTTTTTAAAATACTTTATTTATTTATGTATGCACAACAAATAATTATATTGTGCCAAGTGTGGATTTTGTATTCCTTTTTCAAATTAAATAAAACAGTAAAGGTGGGATATATCAAAAATAAGGAGAGAAAGTGTAAAAATTTTAAGTGACCTGGGTGACCATAGTGGGAAGAAAATATGATAGATCAGAGGGAATCAAGAGGCTGTTTGACAACACTGTTTTTCAGCCTATCAGGCTAATCAACCATCTTTTTCACCCCAAACACGCAACTTTTGCTTTTGTGCGCTGAATTGTGTAATAAGCAGAAAAAGTAAGGCTGAAGTTACTTTTCTGACTGTATTGGCTGAAGATGATCATTTTAGCTATTTTTACATATAATTTTTTCTTTATTTAATTAATAAAATACATTTTAAAAATATTTTTTTCTTAGATCAGCAGAATCAGTCAATGCAGCCAGAATTTTATAAATTTCAGCAGAATCGGTCAAATCAGCCGATTTTCGTGTACCAAACGGGCTCTAAATTTTTGGAGGAAAGTGATGTGATAGAGAGAAGGTCAAAACCAATACCATTGTGGATGCTCTATGTAGGACAAAGTTAATAGAAAAAAGATTGGTGCATACAAAATTTGTACATTTGTCTGTCCCTCACAGACAAGTTGTCTGTCCGGAGATGAGTTGTCTGTGGACAGACAACTTATCTGTGAGGGACAAACCAGTATACAAAATTTGTGTGCATGTAGCTCCACCCAAGTTAATATGTGACACGGCGTACCAACTGGGCAACGGAGGAAGTAATATGATACGAAGTACTACGGGGTAATAAATTCGTATTATTATCAAAATCTGACACAGAAAATTGCACCAACTGGGCACCTGGCAACCACCTAAAATGGATTTTGTTGAGACACCTGTAACCGCAATGGCTTAATGTTTAAGAAATGTTTTTGCTTGGATTCTGCTACTGTGGATCTTCTCGTCGCCTCAGTTGTTGATCTTCGCCCCTCCGGGCGTAAAGACTACCGTGGTGTAATCTTCAATTTCTTCTACTAATTCCGCATTCGCTCTCGAATCTGGCCATCTGGCACTGAGGTCTGCCCTTTCATATTCCCTTACCTGAACCATTTTCGCAACCTCCTAAATTCCTAATCCGAGCTGTCAGTGTTCTCAAGAACTAGTTATTGTGACAGTTGTTATGATATGAAATCAATTCGTCACTACTTTATGTGAAGCGCCTGCCATTAGCAAGAGCAATAGATTCCAAAAGCTATAGCTCAGAAAACATGCAAAATCTGTACCCAAGGATTAGCCTATGTCTGGATAATTTTGCAGCTTTGGGCTGCAGGCAAAAACATTCGATTTTCAGAATTGGATTGTGGCTCGTGTTTGATAATGTCACGAGTAGCATATTTAACCTCCATTAGATGAAGATTCATGC